TTTTTTTTTTTTTTTTTTTTTTTTTTTTTTTTTTTTTTTTTTTTTTTTTTAGTGGGGATTGAACTCCGGTCCTTGCGCTTGCAAGGCAGGCCGCCGAACCACTGAGCTAAATCCCCAGCCCATATATCTCTGTTCTTAATACATTACGTACTCCTTCTCATTATCTAAGGCTGACCAGCACTCTGTGAATCTCTCCCTCAGTATCCCCCTAATCTGGCCATGGAGAACACAGGTTATGTTATGCCCCACTTAGAATTCACTTGATTCTTTATTACTCTGTACTTTTTAGCTCTTAAGAATTTTTTTTTCTGTTATCCTCCCACACACCCCTCAATCCCTGCTAACAACTATTTGGTTATCTACTTTGGAATCCAACTGCACAGAAGTGAAATCTCTCTACTTTGAATTATTTTATTTAGTTATTTTGCAGCATTTGGGATCGAAATGGAGGCCTCACACATGAAAAACACACACTCTACTGCCAAGCTTCTTCTTTAGGCCCTTGGATCATTCCTTTAAATGCCTGTCCCTCCTGTGGGACAGTAAGTACTTTGAATACCCAGACCACAGTGTGACTAATTTTTGTTTACTTAATGCTCAACACTGTACTTCTATTGGAGAAATTAATCTCTTGTGTCAGACAAAGGGCAGGTCCTGCTCAGGGCTACTAAATGCACTCATCCCAAAAAGTGACAGGAATACTGAACTGGCTATCTGACATTACCTCAAATGTTTTCTCTACCTAGTTTGACAACTGCACTCTATATATCAGTGGATTATCTCTACAGAAACGTGAAAATAATGCACAGTAATCCATTTCCACATAATTTTACCATTCAGTCTTTTTTCTGATGGGAATCTGTTTTTCTTAACTTTAGTCTATAATTTAGAATTATATTCAGGGGCTGGGGATGTAGCTCAGTGGTTCTGCCATCTGCCTCTCAAGAGAAAGGTCCTGAGTTTGATCCTTGGTATAAAAAATTATATTCATATAATTTATATAAAATTATATTCATATATATATTCATATACCTTTCTATTACAGTAACTGATACATTAAATAATTTCTTCTACTTTTTCATTTTCCTGCTTTTCCTGTTCCATAAAAGGAGCTGGTGGTTGGACCCCACTTGTATCAAACAAATATCAATGGCTGCAGATTGACCTTGGAGAGCGAATGGAGATCACTGCTGTGGCAACACAAGGAGGGTATGGGAGCTCTGACTGGGTGACCAGCTATCTGCTGATGTTCAGTGATGGTGGGAAGAACTGGAAGCAATATCGACAAGAGGAAAGCATCTGGGTATGTTTCCTAATAATAATTCTACAAGGGCTGGAGCTTCAGCTCAGTGGCACCGCACCTGCCTTGCAAGTACAAGGTCCTGAGTTTGATCGCCAGTAATGGAAAAAAAATTCTTCAGGTCACTGCAAATCTATTGGAAAAACATAATGTTTCAAATTGATACATAATAATTTCACATATTTATATGGAAAATATGATATTTCAAGACCTGTAGATATGGTATAATAACCAAATCAGGTGAATTGGATATCTTGGATGAGACCCCAAAAGCAATGGAAGCAAAAGTAGGCAAATGAGATTACATCAGACTAAAAGCTTCTACACAAGATAGCAATCAATCAGTAGAGTAATGAAACAACTTACAGAACGAGGAAATATGTACAAAGTATATATCTGATGCGAAACAGAATATTGAGAATTTCTTTGAAAAACATTCCAAGTGAAAGTGAGGTCCCTGTCTGAAGGAAAACATGGAAAGGCCCTCTTGTTTTTATACTCTTTAGTAGTGTGGAAATTTAAGACTAATACAAGTCATATATGATTTATTTTCTCATTTTGCTTAATAAGAAAATTTAGCATTGCTTCTGGATTATTTACACTAGTAGTTTGAATTCACCATTTGATTTTTCTCTGATTTAGTCTTGTATTTTTGAAAAATACACAAATTTTAAAATTCAATAAATGAGTAGTTTCTATATGTATGGCAAGTTCAGGAATACATGCCTTGAACTTGAAGAATCTTGGGTTATTTATCATGTAGCCACACTGAGTAATTCATAGAGTGTTGTTACTGGTAACATCCTCTGGATTTCTTCACAGCAATGACATCACTTCTATTTCTGACTATATGTCAATGCCTGTTTAGAAAAATCGCCTTCGACTTAACATTTACAAAAATGTATCTACTCTGTTTGGGAGTAACTTATATGGGTTCAAAATCTTGATCTTCATTTTTAATAATATTTAAAGTGTTGGGGACAGTTTCCCTAGAAAAGAGATCTTAATAGGTGAATCTGCATATTTTGAATTACGTTTTTGTAATTTGACTCTCTTCCTCCCTCCCAAGAACACATGAATGTTGGAGACCATGAATTTTTTTGTTAGTTAAGCAGCTAAGAGAGAAGCCATAACCAAGGGAGTTCCAGCTTAAGATTTTTTTCTTTTTGCTTACTCTAAAAGGTTTTGTGCCTAGAAGGAAATAGCGTAAGGGATAAGATTCTTATTAATCCAAAGCAATAAAAACGACAAGTGCCAACTCCCATAACCCCATGACCTGTACCAGTGTGTCGAGCATCACTGGGATGAGTGCTTTATTCTCTTAAATCCCTGTCAAATTGTGAGATTCCACTATGTGACATTTTACCTCTGATCCTGGCATCTCTGATATGGGTTGAACTGTGGTTCTCCAAAAAGATATGCTGGAGTTATAACCTCCAGTACTTAGGGATATGACTCGGTTTGGAAATAAGATGTTTACAGGAGTAAGCAAGTTAAAATGACGTAAGTAGAGTTCGCCTTAATCCAGTATGACTAGCATACCCATAAAGAGAATACATGAGATACACGGAGATGAATGACATGAAGACACACACACAGATCACCCTAGGAAGGGGCAAGATTGGGGTGGTGCTTCTAGAAGCAAAGGATTGCTTGAGGCAACCAGAAGCTAGGAGATGGGCTTGGAACAGAACTTTCCCCTAATGCCTGCTCAGGTAGCATGGCCCTGTGGACACATGGACTTTAGACTTCTGACTTGCAGACCTTTAGCTGATTAGTACTGTGTTACAGCAGCTCTTGGAAACTAACACACATCTTTAAAGCTTAACTTTGCCTTATAGATACCAGAATGTTTGCTGAATGAATGGGTGGATGCCATTCTAAGGGCTTAGAAACCCAGTAATGCACGGTTACTTGTTCTGCCTCTGCCTGTATTGGTCATTGAGATCCTGACCTCTTGATTGTTTCCTTGCATGTATCCCCATCATTTCATGCAGGATTCCCTGAATCCACATCAGGAAGATTGTCCTCACGAGGCAGATTGCACCGGAATAGATTGATGTGCATCCAGGGTACATAGTGTCTGTTTCTCTTGAAACAAAGGACTTTTCCTGAACAGCAGGCATGGAAGGAATGCAAATACCTTGTATAATATCGAGGCGAATGCCACCTACCATTCTTAAGGACCTGCTGCACATCAGGCTGCATGCCCTGGGTGCCCATATTTAGCCTATGATGTGCCCACAGTTAGTCTATATATACTTCCCCGCAAAGGTTACAGTTTCCAAAAAGGGGAAGAAACAGAATCTCCCAGTGGTAAAGGAGCCCTTTTCCATCTCATCTTCTAGCTCAATTTTTGTAATAATAAAATAATGAGAAGTTTAATGTGACATTTGCTCTTATGTAATAATCTCAAACACACACACACACACACACACAAACACACACTTTTGGTTCCACCTGAAGAGCAAAATGTAGAAAGAACAGCATCAAAATCTTACTAGGAAGTGGTAGCAATTGGTTGGGAAATGTTTCTTAAGGTGAATTTAGAGTGAAACAGAGCAGCAGCCCAAGCTTTTGAAATTCCTTTGAGGTAGGTTTATACCATCAAGCAGTGCCACATTAAGTAATGGCTGTACAGATGATCTTTATGACACTCCTGGGCCTCCTTCCTCACAAACTGAAGAGCAGCCTGTGGTGCTCTCCACTCCAGGAGTTATTTAAAAGGTACCCTGTGAGTTTCCATTGCAGATTAAAGAGTTCTGGAGATAGTTGGTGGGGACAGTTGCCACTGAACTATGGGCTTAAACATGGTTAAAGAGTTAAACTTTATATAATACATACTTTCCCACAATAAGAATATCTTTAAAAATATATCTAACAAGTCATTTAGTGGGCTTTGCTACTAGTGCATGACTTATTACCCTTCCACTTTTTCTTTCTGATTGTAAGTGGGTCTAAAATCTTCAGAAAGTGCCTGAGTATTTGCAGTCTGATGTTACTGATCCAAGTTCAGCTCATGGGAGGGGAGAGGCTCTCACAGAAAGATGCTACCAGGAGTGTCGCAGAGGATTTGAGTGTTTGCTGTGGCTGAGGAGACAGTTCCATAAGGTCCGGGGGCAAATCTGTGATCTTGAGAGAGAGAGAGGGAAGAAGACCTGAACTTCAATATATGTTTGGTTGGAGGAATGCACTTCCAGGGAATTTCATAGAAATTCAAGTGGCAGGTGTGAATGACGGCTGTGACCTGAGAGAAGGTGCAAGTCAGGTACAATTTCTCCTCCTCCTTGGAGCATAAGCTTCCTGTTCTTCTCCTCATTTTGCATCCTATACTTATGAAACTGTTTATGATGATCTCAAGAATAAAAGGGCTAATCTGGAATCTAATTGATTTATCTCATGGTAAATGATTGTTTTATTATGAAATCTATCCTTTGGTCAAATTTTAAATCAATACTGCCATTTTGTTTTAGCAATAGTGAAAGTCCTAGTGATGTTTTTAAGAAACCCTTTCCCACAGTCCCAAAGGAGACTTTCTGAATTAATGTCTGGTTTAACAGCTGAATTCTCAGATTTCCCTATAGGCTGCTGATTGGCTGTGAGTCCTTTAACTTCTCAAAGCAGGTACTGTGCAGCTGTACAGACTTCTTCAGAAGTAACAGCCCTCACTTTGAATTCAGTGACCTTGATAAATCAAAGCAATTATCTGGCTTAAGCTGTTTTGTTTAAAGCAATGTCGTCTATTCTTTTTTCCAAGATATGGATGAGTGGGGGTTTCCCCATACGGAAACTTTGGCCTTGATCATAAATTATATCCATAGAAAGTATTACCTTTTATACAGTCAGTGAGAGTTCTAATTGATAAATAATGCAATATTCTGGTTTCCTATAAACATATCAGCAGATAGCTATTTTTCTGTTTAGCTAGGCTATTTTTGTATATCTCTGTAGAAATTCCCTGCAATGCATTGTTTTCGGGATCATTGCGAAGACGTTTTCCTTTTTTTTCTTTCATCGTATTGAGTGTTCTATATTAGGTTATATTTGAATGACTTGCTTTTAAACACAGGCTTTTTAAAGATCAAGTTTATTTTCAAACAATAGCTATACGTGTATTCTTAATCATAGCAAATATAAATGCACTTTTTAGGTCTAAATTAAAGGCTGGGCTGGAGATTTAGAGTTACATAGAATTGTCTTGAAAACAAGAATTTGTTATAAACGATGTGAATTTGAGTGATTTAATTTCTCAAAGTTCTAGTTTCTTCATTTAGAAAAGAAGCATAAGTTTTGTGAGGAAAATAAGATAATCCATGTAATAAGTGTAATTGCACTTGGTGTAGCATGATTTCCCATAAGGGCTTTGTCATTATTTTTTTTCTCTGATCTCTGTTGCAGAACTATTATGTTATTGAATACTTTTTATATCAAGTAGTATGGTCTATTACTCTTTTATACAGTGCACTTTCTTAAAAAAACTGAAATAAAATTACCAAATGATCCAGCAGTTCCACTGCTAGATATATATTGAAAGAAAATAAGAATTAGCACGTAGAAGTGATACCTGCATTCCTGTGTTTATTGAAGCCCTATTCATAGTAGCTACCAAGTGGAATCAATCTTAAGGTCATCAATGGATAAATGAATAAAAAAATGTGTTGAATGTACTGGTACATAATGAAATACTGTTCACACTTTAAAAGCAAAAAGGAAATATCATTGTTGCAGCATGGATGAAGCTGGCTTGGCTATTAGCTCTATCCAACGCTTTAACCTTGGTTTCTGTGCTGCTTTTCTCTCGTTGCTGGAACAACATACCTGACACTCAGTGTTAAAAGGGAAGGGGTTTATTTGGCTTACAGTTCATAGAATTGGCAGTCCATAGTTGCCTGACTCCAAGGCAGGGGTGACAAACAGGCCTGGCAGAGCAGAAACAACGTGGTGCACACAAGGCAGCAAAGGTAACAAGGGACTTTCACCAACTCTTTCTGCCTTTTTTATCC